ATGCTTGTATGTGAAAACTTGCAACAATGTGACGACCATGATCACGCTGACCAATAATATGTAAGATTTTGCACCCGTACACCATTTCACCCTTCACTAAGCCATACACTTCGTTTCTCTCCGTTCCTGGTATTTTCTTTTATATTATATCTGAAACATGTTAAACACGGTTTTACTAAAGTTTGATAGATTTAAGGTTTAAATTGATTAAAAATAAATTTGTAAATTAAAAGTCACGTGAGGCATATAAATTACCATCTGGCTTTAGACGACCTTTTATATAGTATTCGGGTGTACAAATGTAAAGAAGAAAAAAAAAGAAGGGTGCGATTTATTCTTCGGAATTATTAAAACTGGTTAACGTTAATCCGTTGATAGAATTTTAAAGTTTAGTGTTTTAATATAAAAAAAAATCTGGTTCCTAATTCTAATAGTTTTAGCAATTTAGAGGAACGTTAAGGCCAGGTTAGGGTTGTGGTTACTCTTTTGATATTGTTAGTTTTTTATTTATATAAATATCAAGAATAAAATTTATGAATATATAGATCAAGATGTAGCTTTAACGGACCCATATAAAATCTCGTTCGTCATAGGTTTCGTATTCATCATGAGCTTTATCATTCGTAATGAATTTCCTAAGTTGCCTGACGAAATGGTTTCGTCATTAATCAATGACCATTCATCAACGACTAATATTTTGTCATCCATCATGATTCAAACTCTAATCAATACGTGGTGCAGTCAGGCCTCTCTAATTGCAATCTCTTTAATTTAAATGCAACACCCATCCAAACGTAACCATTAATCCTGATCAAAATATTCAAAATATACACTAAACTCCATAAATGCCCCTACGAGTTGCACCGAGGAATGTTTGGCTTTACTACATTAATGCATCTAGCATCTAACCATTGTAATATAGCATTATTGAAATATGATCTATGTAATTATACGTACGTACCGAAATTTTATAAGAAATAATTTTTTTGGCAACATACAGGAGGTATTTTCATACAAAAAAAAAATGCGATAAACATGAAAGCGCATGTTATTGCATAGGGTCTGTACTTTTTATACGTATATAATGTTATGCTGTTTAATGCAACTACAGTACTAGGAATACAAAACTGTTGTAAATCCGGAGCGATAAATATCGATATAGCAACATTTAATAGCCAATAATTTATAATGTGGATCATCTGAAAAAAATTTGCTAAGATCTCTAGTATGCGCTGTTATGCTTAATTTTTCTTTTTAGTTGGTATCAATATTTTATTATTTGTTGTGTTTCTTATTTTGGTATAGTTTGTGGCACAGTTGGGTGATTAAAGCTTCAATCGAGTGATTAAAGCTCCAATCGAGTGATTAAAGCTCCAATCGAATGATTAAAGCTCCAATCGAGTGCTTTAAGCTCCAATCGAGTGATTTAATCCCCAAACGAGTGATTAAAACCCCGGTACGAATTAAAGATATATAAAGGTGTGGTTTTAGTCGAGGGAAGGACAGTCGTTCATAGTTTTAGTATTATTGTTAATAATCCGATGTATTGATTTATGTTAATAAAGAGAAACCGTATAACCTATAATTATGTGTGTTAATTTAATGATTTAAACTATTCGACCCAATTACTTTATTGTTCACGATCGAAGCTAAATTGGTCAAGATAGTTTATAGCTCTCCTCTGATCGTAACAGCGCCCAATTTACGTGATACCACTATATCTGAAAATGTAAGTCCTCCGCTACGCTCCGAACAATCACATGTTTATCAGCCAATCAAATGGCAAATATTAAAGAAACGAAAAAATGAATCAAAGCGAAATTAATTCAAATTTTAAATGTAAAATTCAAAATAAATGCTTAAATGCCTTAAATATTATTATATCTAACCTTTTGCACATTTAGCTTCATGTTTAATATTAATGTCTAGCACGAACTCTCATAATATATCATTATTATTCTATTAGAATAGCTATTTGTAACTAAGTTATAAGCTTTTTATTATATACAAAATAGCAATCCGGTTAATTTATTGTTGTTTTAAAAAGAATTTTTTAAGAAATATTTTAATAAGAACTATATAAATTATTTCTCTTCAACAAATGTTTACCTTGCTAAATTATTTCTTTAAACGTTTTTGTTTTTTCACCTTTTAGAGAAGAAATTTAGTGATATTGTAACTTCGCAATGCTTATTTCTAAACATACCTTTGCTAGGTAATACGTATTATGAAAGTTGGGATTAAGAGGGATTAAAAAGATATGTTATAATACAGACGAAAGCTTCAAGTTTGCTTAGTGAATTAATCACATTTCATAATAGAATAGATAAGTTATTGGGGTGTATCCTATCGGTTGATTTACAAACATAGTGCAGATGATATAGTGATGATCATTAATCAAGTTTTTTTTTTATCATGTACTGTTAATTTAATAGTAAAAACATAGAAAGCACAAACTGCAATAATTCTTGTCGCGGATCATAATTTAAAATGAAATCGACATTTCTACTCAACCTGTTAACCTTCTAAAACCCACTTATGCTTGTTTATTATAACTTTACTTTAAAACTAACCCCTAACCCTAAACCCTATCCCTAAAAAAATGCACCCCAAAAAATTTTAGTTTTCGAGATTTTATATTATAATTTCATTTTGATCTGGATTTCATTATGATCCGCCACAATTCTTAAACCAGCAAATAAAATTATATTTGTTGGGTTCGTTATAATGTGCACTTAAACGTAATAGCGCTCTTTTTTTTATTTCTATTGTCTGGAACGTAGCAAGGAACTCAAAGAATTTTGGTTTTGATTTATTGTTAATAAAACATCAAAAATATAACTATTGCATACGTGTCATAATATGCACATAAAATTCAAAGTTACATTTTTGATTTTTTATTAATAATATATCAAAAGCGAGAATTTTGGTATTATTTTATTTCCTCCGCTACGCTCAAGACAATAGAAATAAAAAAAGAGCGTCATTACGCTAAAGAGCATATTATAACGAACCCGACAAACATAATTTTATTTGTATGGGTTTGCTGGCTCAAGAATTATTGCAGCTTGTGCTTTCGATGTTTTTACTATTTACGTATCATTTTCATCTGCATTGTAAATCAACATTCCAATAAGTTACACCAGCTTCCTAAAAAAGTATTGTAATAAACAATATAAAAAAATCTTTCAATTGTGTAACAATTTGTGTAACATCGAAGGTTCCACCTTTGTTTAGTGCACTGTTTCGTGTATGTTTAGAGATCTCCTGTATCAAAAATTTTTGTGCTCTTATGGGGGAAGGTCAATAGAAAACAGGCAAATTTTTTTAGTAACTTTTTTTAAAAATTTAAATTTAAATATCTTACCAAATATTAAATCAAGCTTAAAAAAATTTTTAGTATTTTGATTCTATAACTATATATATAGAATTAAAATAAAAAAAATTTTATTAAATTTGGTTCGATAGTTGTTAAAATATTTGAATTAAAAGTTTTAAAAAATTTTACTAAGAAAAATTTGCCTGTTTTCTATTGACTTCCTTCCATATATCACAGTATTATACCCTCCCAAAATGCACGCGCTATGAAAAGCCACCCTAACTGCATGCCATCACTTGGGCCCAATTAAATTTATAGATTTTTACCTCCCTAAATGCAATACCTCTTCAATTGACGTTTGACCAAATTTTTACATATAGTCCCGTCACAATGCACTTAGAAAAATCTGACTGCATAACATTCATAATATGAGTATCGCTAAAAGGAAACATACTAAATGTGTATGTTTTCTTTTAGCGACACTAATACGTATGCTTATGGCACATATGATTATTATCATGATTTCTTTAAGAAAATTTTTCGCATTTATTTGACATATTAAAATAAATACAATTGGTTGTCATTTTCTCTCTACTCATGGCTCACAGCATTTATGCAACTCTTAATCTTGTTTTATTCTGTACAATATATTTTAAACAAAATTTATTAATTTTAATTATAATTGTAAACAAAATTCATTAATTTTAATTATACGAATTACGAATATTGATATTTGAATTTAAAAAAGCTAGGATTACCTATAGTAAAAAAAAAATAAATAAAATTTAAGTTGTAACAACAGCAAGAGTATTTCCACAACTAGTACAGCTATGAACTTTATTCCTAAAAATACAGCTATGAATTTTACCCTTAAAATTGGGTAAAATACAAGATATCCAAGTAAACGGCAAACATACTATGAATATGATTAGCAAAATCAATAAGATTAAAACTATAACGAGAACACATGCAGGTGATCCGATAGTTTTAGTTACCGACGTAATTACGATATTATTACAATACGGACATGTTACTATTACTGGTGTATGAGAAGAAATGCTAACAATTCCCGGATTTTGATCCTGATTCGGATTCATTACCATCACAGAAGGAGGAGGAGGTTGCTCTACATAAATGACTTGTTCATGAGGTAAAGCGCTTGTCTGTTGTTGGTTTGAAACGTTTCTCATTTGTTGCTGAGTAGGAGAGAATCCCATGTTTGCTTGTTGATACGTGTGTGGTTGCTGCTTTTGTGAATATTGACCTTGATTAACCTGCTGGAAGTATTGTTGCTGTCCTTGTGGAAACTGATTGAAAGATTGTGGTATTGAGGACATTTGTTGTTGCGAAGGTTGGTTTGAGAAACCTTGTTGTTGTGAGGACTGAAATTGTGGTGGACCAGATCCGGGAAACGGTTGTTGTGAGGACATAAATTGTGGTGGACCAGATCCGGGAAACGGTTGTTGTGAGGACATAAATTGTGATGGACCAGATCCGGGAAATGATTGTTGTGAAGACATAAATTGTGGTGGACTAGATCCGGGAAACGGTGGTGGAGGATCCGATGGCGTTGAAAAATGGCCCATGTTAATTGGATGACTATTGTTTATTTGATTTTGTGCTTGAAAGCTGTCCTCATTTAACTTTAAATTTACTTCAGTTAAATAGTTTTGAGGATTTGCCATTTTTTTATCTTATATGTTCAAAAATTTATAACGAGAAATAAAATATTCAAATTAATTTATAACAGTTAAAGATTATGTCGCATTTTTCTATTGTACATACATAACATACCAATATTAAATATATGTATATAATTTTTCTGAAAAAATATATTAAAATTACAGTTAGATAAATATGCCACATCCACCTAATTACCATGACATTAATGTTATCAAAAATTGTCATAACAGATAATTTGTTAAACGATCATAATACTATATACATACGTGATATATATGATATTAACAGAAAATTAACGGGAAAAGGAGTTAATCCCTAAATTCATTTATTTTATAATGAATAGACTGCGTAACGATAATATAATAATCGTGTTTCCAAAATGGTTGAAAATGGCAAATAATTTTTTTTTACTTTATTTTGGTGAGCACTTTGATTGAAGATCGATACCTGATTTGATGTAATTGTTTACCAAAATAATACTCATGCAGATTAGATTTGTTCTCCATAACGATAAGCACAACATGCTAACGTAATCCTGTACCCAGTAGGTAGGGTTCAAACGGGCCGGCATGGCCCGTGGGCCACCCGGGTCAGGTCATGTCGATCACAAGGTCGGGCCAAGTCGGGTCTGGCCCGTGGGCCACCTGACGGGCCAGAAGTATTTGATTGGCTAAAAAAGTTGAGATTATCGTTATTGTCGTTATCGTCTTGCCGTCTGCCATTTATATTTTGTTAAGTAAATTTTTTTTACTATGAACGAAGTTTGGTTTACAAATTTACTGAGTAATATCTACATTAGAGATTGGTTTACGACTTACCTGAAGCAAGTAAGTAATACAGTACCTTTTTTATTTAAAAGTGAAGTTGTTAATTTGAAACATAAATATTGAAAAGCGAAGTTACATTTCAATGAATAAGGTTTCAGCTATATTGAAACTTGACCTTGCCACATTTCTTGAACCAGATAATGCAATGTGTTTTGTAATTACTCTTATTATTATACTTAAGTTTTCAATTTAATGCACATAAATATTGAAAGCATATTATACTTTTATAATAGAAGCTTGGCAACATTAGATTTATATATAATATTCTGGCATTAAGATAATTACTTACAGAATTTTTTAAGAAAATTTTATTAAATTTGATCAAATTTTGGTTAAGTTATTAGCATATAAAGTTTTAAAAAAAATTCAATAAAAATAATTTGTTTGATTTTATTGACCCACCCCATATAATTAAGTGAAAAATGCTATACAAAATATCTGGGTATTATTCACAATTAAAAAAAAATGTTATATAAAGTATTCAGGTATTTTGAGTAAGAGATATGCAAAAAAGAAGATATTTTTGTCAGTGTACTATGGTAATAGTTATTAATTATTATTATTTTAATATACATACAATAATAAAATTATTCTATTTTAGTCAATATATACTTTAATTTTTATTTATACATATACAGTATATAATTTAAAAAAATTATAATTTTTTAAGAAAGGTTCAAAAGACAACAGGTTTCATAAAGCAGTTTTTACACCACTTAAGCTCTGGCAAAATCTTGGGTATACTTGGTTATAGTGCTCCTAGATCTGGTCTAGGTCTGGTCTGGTCTGAGTCTGGTCTGGGATCAGACCAGACTCAGACTCTAAATTTTGCTGATTTTAGACTTCAGACCAGACTCAGACTCAATTGTAAGTTTGGTCTGGGTCTGGTCTAAAGTCTGCAGACTAGTCTGAGTTTGAATATATTTATATGTATTTTTAGGTGCTGAACAAATTTACCTAGTTAATGAAGTTAGAATTAATTAGTAAATTTTTGAGAATTATAAGATTTTATAAAATTTTATTAATAAAATTTTATAAAATCTTATAATATCAAAAATTCACTAATTAATTCTAACTTTATGCACTAATTAAATTTGTTCAGCACATAAAACTACATTAAACCAGCAGAGTTATTTTTATTGTACTTAAAATTTGGAGCAAAGATGCTTAATTTTGGATTTTTTGATCAAAAATCCAAAATTAAGCATCTTCACTCCAAATTTCAAGTACAATAAAAATAAATCTGCTGGTTTAATGTAGTTTTAGATGCTGAACAAATTTAATTAGCATATAAAGTTAGAATTAATTAGTAAAGTTTTGAAAAACATAAGATTTTGTAGAATTTTATTAATAAAATTCTACAAAATCTTATGTTTCTCAATATTTTACTAATTAATTCTAGTTTTATGCACTAACTAAATTTGTTCAGTACCTAAAAATACATTAAACTGGTAGAGTTATTTTTATTGTACTTAAAATTGGTGTGAAGATGCTTAATTTTGGATTTTTTGATCAAAAATCCAAAATTAAGCATCTTTGCTCTAAAATTCAAGTAAAATAAAAATAACTTGTTGGTTTAATGTAGTTTTAGATGCTGAACAAATTTAATTAGTGCATAAAGTTAGAATTAATTAGTAAGATTTTGAGTAACATAAGATTTTGTAAAATTTTATTAATAAAATTTTATAAAATCTTATGTTTTACAAAAATTTACTAATTAATTCTAACTTTATGCCCTAAGTATATTTGTTCAGCATCTAAAAATACATATAAATTTATTTAAACTCAGACCAGTCTGCAGACTTCAGATTAGACCTGGACTAAACTCAGACTTGACTAAAAAATCTGAATATAAAAGTCTGTGTTTGGTCTGAAATCAGACCAGACTCAGACTTGACTAAAGTCTGGTTCGAGTTTGGTTCATAGGAGCACTAACTTACTCCATATACAAACAACCACCCTAACAATAGTATATTTTGTTTTATTCAAAGTTTTTTTAGACTACTTATAATATTAATTTTAAATTTTTTTTAGTATAGGTAGGCATATATAAATTATTACAATATTATAATATATAAAACTAACTAATTTAAGCCAATTTAAACCCTAACTTTAACTCTAACCTTAATAATTTATAAAATTACTTAAATTAGTTCAAAATAATTAAGTTAAATATATTATAATTGTATAATAATTATATATACCCACCTATACTAAAAATCAACCAAATAGATGTCAAAAATCCAACAATTGGCACAATTGGGATTTAAAAAAAAAAAAAATTGAAAATTGAAAAATTGAAATGGTAGGTAATGCAAAATGAAAATCAACTTTGCATGGTCTAATCATAGTTTTATAACAACAGATTGGGCCAAACCTGGAAGATATATTGAAGTCATATGCACAAGTCTATAATGAACAAAAATCTATCACATTTAACAATGAGACAGAAAATGTAAAATTTAATTAAAATTAATCCATCTATTTTTTTTTGCTATTTTCATCCAGTATCACCCGATGGAGACCTTAATTTCCTGTAATTGTCCAATAGGACTGACAGAAAAATATGACTGCTGTCCTAATTTTTTGATTCCTTGTTTACAAAATATAAACTTAAATGTGATCATTATTCTATTTGCAGTAAATTGAATTAAAAAAAATAAAAAAAAATTCTGACTGTCTATTCCTAATTTTGAAAACATGTAATGCAAAATGAAAATCAATTTTATATGGCCTTACAGCTAATTTAGAGATATTTAGTAAAAAAATTAACCAATTATTTGGCTGATTGATTGCTATGCAATCAATTTGTAAATTAAAACTCATGTAAAACATATAAAACACTGTAAGGCTTTAAATGACCTCTATTTTTATATCCTATATCCCTAATTGGAACTTATAAAAATATTAGGCTTTTTTCATCAAAATCAAAATATTTTATATCATTCAGGTTTAGTTAACATAGTTTTCTTACAAGTAGTGTAAGTCTTTCAAAACATCCATATCTTTGAAATTGTTTGAGAACTAAACTTATTAAAGATCTGCTAACACTTAAGTGTCTAACAATGATAACTCTTTTAAATTTTTTCTTACTATTTTTTAGTATATGCTTCGAAAATATCATATTTAGCCAAAGCTATTTTTATTTTAGTTATCAGGTCATTGTTGATTATAATTGTCACTATGGCATCATAAATAGAAATTGATTAAAGCCTAATAGTATTTATATATTTTATATTAATTTTAATTTACTGATCAATTTAAGACATACATATATACATACTTGAATTTAAACTATCTAAAAATAATAAATGTTACAATAACTATACCAAGATTAATAACTTGTTAAATCATCAATTAATCATTCAGTTAATTTCTTACCAGATATCCAAAATTAATAAAAACAGCTGTACAGAATTATGCAGTAAATTATCTCATCAGAGTTCTCAGCCATTCAACATACCTAATTAATAGTTTCAAAAAAAAGACTAAGTTAATAGTGTCTGTAAAACATGAAATAAAATTAACTCAAAAGTTACTTGTCTGAAAATCTAACTTGCTGAAACTTACTACTTCATTCGAATAAGCCTTATAATTGAATAACTCCAACCACCAATTCTAAACTAACTACTATACACTAGCAAAGAACTTAGCTTTAATCCTAAATACTGCTTTAATGCAATATGATACAACATTAACAAGATGTGATACACATTGCAAAATATATCTACAATGTCAAAATATGACACAATACTTATAAATGTAGATCTGTATTACTGGTGAATTTCATACTTGGTTAACTATAATTATTTTCTAATAATAATATAAAAAATATAATATTTATATAATATTTTTTTTGGTATTTAGATGGAGTTTTGCTCATAACTTTATTTATTGTTAATATTTTCATTATATATATTACTACATTTTCCTATTTATATATATTAAGTATACCAAGCTCAGACCAGGATCCTATTGATAACCTATGCTCTAGCTAAAACTGTCACTTGCATGATAGATGTTCCCATTTACTATCTGGCTACTAATCTATTTATCTGTGATCAAACCTACCAGAGTAGTATGTCCTTATAGATAACATTCACCTGATATTTTTTTACTCTTTACTAGTTCTATTTTGGTATACTTCACTATGATTTCATTCTCTGCATCTCTTA